TATATATATATATATATATATATATATATATATATATATGCATTGCATATGTACATGCATACATATAGGTAAGTGTCCAGAGTGCTGCAGATTTCCAAGGCTCTATTTTTACTGGGGGGGGGGGGTTGAACTGTCTGATGGCTGAGGGACAAAGGACTTCCTGAATCTTTTTGTGGAGCCGTGCTGGGTGTGATTTATACCAACGTTGAGTTCATTTTTAAACATGTTCCTAATGAAATTGCATTTGGTCATCAAAGTTGTACATTTTGTTGTAAGTTTTAAGACTGCGCTTAAGACTTTCCTGTTTGATAAATCCTATAGTTGGGGTTGTTTTTTTATGCTGCTATAGGCTTAGACTACTGGAGGACAAATTGACCTCATTTTCTTCAATGAATTGTTAAAATTGAATAGTTTTCATTTGATATTATTTCTATCTTAACGTGATTCTTCACCTGCCATTGTGTATCTGTTCTTACCAAACCCAGCCGGTCGAAGCAGATGGTCCTCTTGTCCTGAGCCTGGTTCTGCTAAAGGTTTCTTCATCATGAGGGAGTTTTTCTTTCCACTGTCGCCTTCATGTTTGCTCAAGCTGAGAGTTCAGTGATGGAGTTAAACTCAAAGCTGCTCCTCAGATAAATAATGTTAAATTATTATTTTTATGTGTGAATGTTTCTGTTCAGTGTCCTGAGACGACTTCTGTTGTGACTTGGCGCTTCATAAATGAACTGAATTTTTACTTGTTTTTGATTCCTACATATAAAAAATATCAAATATCGCACCTCATCCAGAGTCGACTTCTCTTTAACCAATAGTTGTATTAAAGGAACTTCTATGTTTGATGATGTTGCCAAAATTGGGTTTTAGTTGATAGCGTCTTGATTCAGCCGTCACCGAAAAGAAACAAGTCTTTTCTGATGGACCCCCCCAACTCATTATTCAGACAAGTTTTTAATCTGTAGTTGTCTGAATAAATTAGTAAAACTGAGTGAAGGTCTGTCACCAACGCTTAGTACAAACAAACAAACAGATAAACAGACAAGTGGCTCTTTTTAAATAATTACTACACAACTGAAATGTTGTCTTGTTTCTGCCTCTACTCTAAATTTGCCGTCGACTCAGAGCTGGATCGGTTCAAATAGACCCCGACGAGAGCCAACAGGAACGTTCCTTGTTACCAACTCACCCATTTATCTCTTAAACGTGCCGTTAGGAACTAACTGAGAGGTTTGTTTGTACCAGGTCTCCAACTGGTTTGGCAACAAAAGAATTCGCTACAAGAAAAACATCGGCAAGTTCCAAGAAGAGGCCAACCTTTATGCCATGAAGACCGCCTTGGGTGCCCGACAGGGAGACGATTCTCCACACACTCCAAACTCAACAGGTACTGTCAGAAAAGGACTCGAACCCATCACTACCTGTGGTCCTGTCCAGTGAGACTCTATCAGTGATATTAATCTGTTAATTGTTAAGAAGTGATTAAAGGAAAAATGTGGCCTTTACACAGGCAGTGTGTGATTTTAGGTCAGGGCTGACAGCTAAACTTCTGGGGGGCCACAGTTACTGAGAGCCAGCAGCTCAGGGGCCGGACTTCCAGCAAGTAGAATCATTCTGTAAACAAACTAATTATTACAATGATACATCTGTTTATGTTGTTGCATTGAATCATAAATGCAATGAACAGAACCAGGTTGAATGAAAAAAAAAATATATATATTTTTAATGAACTCATTGGTGGACCAGACTTAGGTCATCCACGGTCCAGGAGTGGCCCATAGACCGCCAGTTGAATATCCCCGTTTTAGTGTCCGCTGCATCTTTTGCTATTGTCTTTATAAACAATACATTTTTTCAACGTTTAAGATTTTTTGTGTAACGATGGTTTATCACATTCAAAACTCTTGAGTTGGCTAATTAACAGCGATCAATCACAACCATAAAATAATTTAATAAATAATAACATTTTAAATAATGTAGAGTTCATACTTTGTACTGTGACATTCATGTGTCTGAGCTGTTGCTCATCCCTGAAACTGATCCAATGTGAAATGTGTTTTAGCTGAGTCAGGCAACACTGTGGGACAGTACACTGGAGCAACGTTCTGCTCTGACGTGCTAACATGGAAGCACCATGTTACACACATGCAACTTACTGGTAACTGGTTTTAGTGGCGTGAGACTAAAAGCTGAATAATTGTCCTTCCTGTCCTGGTGTCTGTGCAGGGTCGGGGTCCTTCTCTCTGTCCGGGTCAGCTGACATGTTCCTCGGGGTTCCCTCTGTGAACGGCGAGCAGTCTGCCTACTCGATGCAGGTGCTTCAAAACACTTCTGTTCCTCCACCAGCAGGTCGCTTTAAAGATCCAAACCATTTAAAAGTCATGACTGGAGATCCGTCTGTGCAGCTGAAGCTTCATATTGTTCCTCATCAGCTCCACGTTGGTGCTAATTAAGACTTTTATCAAATCGGTGAGCCCAGCTCATGTTTTAATCAGGATAATTGGGCACAAAGTGTGAAGAGCACCAAAGAAAAGCACTTCTGCTACGTCCACATTCATCTGCTCTTCGTTTGAAACGAACACACCCTCGTGTTAAATTATGAATTAACTGTGGTTAACCACATTTTCTGGAAAGTTGAGTTCAGTTTCAGAAGCCACGACAAGGTCTGTAGCATCAAGAGTCACTATCCACAAATGGTGAAAACGTGGAACGATGGTGAACAAAACTACGCCCAAGCGTTCAGAGATGACTCGTCCAGGAGGACCTGAAGGAACCAAGAGTCCTGCAGGCCTCACTTGCCTTTAGTTAAAGGACTCAGCTAAAAGAAAGAGACACAAACAGTCAAAAATGGCCTCATGAGAGAGTTTCAAGGCCAAAACTTGGATGCAAACCACAGATTGTTCTGCCAAGTAAATCCTGAAGGAGGATGTCCAGACCTCAGTTTGTCTCACGCAGCTGGACAGTCATCCAAAACATAACGACAGCCGTGTGACACACTCGTTGGGAGGTTTTGCAAACACTTGATTAAACCAGTGATTAGGTTAATTAGGTTTACTTGTTTTTACATAGGAACAAGTTGGTCTGTGTAGCCTTTTCCTTTTAATAATGAAATAAAATTTGTGTTTACTCCAGTTTTGTTTTATGACATCTGAAATATTTCAGTTTGTCAGAAAAACTCTTTAAGAGGTAAACACATTTTTCACACCTCTGTGTGTGAATGTGTTCATTTTTATTGTTAAGTAAACGGCTGAAGCTTCACAGCCACGTCCCTCCAAACCGCGCTTCAGCTTCCGCTGAGGTAAAGACGACCGACGTCGCTCCTCGCCCCCAGAGTCAAATGTGCCGCTTCCTCTCTTCTCTTCCTAACGAGCTGTTCTTTTGTCTCGATCTCTCAGGCTAACGGAAACTGGCAGGGTCGACACTCGCCCCCGTCCGGCACGTCGCCCCACAGCGACCAGTCGGAAAACTCTGACTGATGGCCCCGCCCACCGCCACGGACCGACAGGAAGATTGACGCGGGACAAGACAGAAAGAATGATACGACACTTCCCACTCGGCTGCAGTTGTTTTTGTTTGTTGGGGTTGTCCGCTTCTTTTGAAAGGACGTTGTTGTTTTTCCGTTTGTTTGTTTGTTTTTCAAAGCGCCCAGCGTAGCTCATGGTTCTGTTGGTGTGATTAGAGTGCACAGACGGTAGCGTGCGTGCACGTTGTGTGCATGCAGGTTTGGGTTTCTTACCGAGGCTGTTGGGTTTGTTTTCCACATGTTTGATTGGAGCAGGGAAATGAGGGGTGGGTCTGCATTATCTTTGTTTTTAGAACACTATCATATTATTATTATTATTATTATTATGTTGTTATTATTGCTTTTATTCTTAGTGGGACAAGTATTTTCATTTTATCAGCTCAGAAAAGAGAGAATGCATTTAGCGAATGCGAGGGCTATAGAGACAAATCCAAAGACTTTGTGTGTTTTCCGTCTGGTGAGTTCTTTGTCTTCTGTTCGGACCGGGCTTCGTTGGCCCTGGAACATGAATGGTGTGTGCCTGAGTCCTTATTAACGGTGTGAATGTGTGTCCACAGTGTTGGCTTTGTTTTCTGTACAGTGAAACACCTGTATTCTCTCTACCTCTTTTACAATAAAGACTGTATTCACAAGCAGCTGCTCATGGACCCACAGCTTTGGCCGCACCAGGAGCCTCGAGCAGCGATTTCTCACATTATTCTCATCAAAACACACGAGACGTTTCACTTTTAACTATTTACAGCTGAACTGGAGTTTTACGTTCTGTCGGAAGGTCTTGTAATTCTAAGGTTTAAAATGTAAGGCATCGTAAAAAGTCCAGTCACAGAAGCAGAGGCAGGTGAGAAGCTGTGATCTTTTGATCCAGGAGTTCGTGGCCCCTCCTCCAGCACCAGAACTCAGCCCGGTTTAGTCCATACAAAGTGCTGAACCCGTCTCGCTGACGGGAGTGTGATGATAATTGTATATTTTTCTACTCGCCACCTGCTGAGACGCCGTCTGGCGCGTTCGAACTCGTTCTTACGGCAGCTGTGTGGAGCGTTGTGCGACTGGTCAGAACTTCGTGGGCCTGTTTGTTTATGGTGGCTGCAGACGCTGAGGAGCTGCTGGCCGAGGGTGTGAGAATACAGCCAACATCACAGCTGTTTTTGTAAAAACAATCAAACTTGTGATGCAGGTTTGTGCGTCTCCCGGGCGAGCAACGTGCACGTCTGTCCGAAAAACGATGCAAGTCTTGCGAAGTAGCGACACCTTAAGTGGTTTCCTGTAGTCTCACTGGTTGTGGAGGAGTTCTGGTCCACGCGTTGACTTCAGCTCATTGAGGTTTCTGCTCAGCTCTCTGACGGTCCCGCCACAGCACCGTTGAGGTTCTGGACTTTGGACCACTGCAGCACCTCGATTCTTCTCTTTATGAGCCAGATCAGCTGCTGGTTTGGGGTCATTGTCCTGTTGGACCCAGTTTGATCACATTTATCTCCAGAACCCTTTGGTCTACAGAGGCGTTCGTGGTCCACTCGGTGACTTGAAGGAGTCCAAACCATCAGCCCTCCACCACCGTGCTGACGGCTGGTGTGAGATGTAAGCTTGGTTTTCTCTGGGCATGATGCATTATGGGTAAAGACCTCCAAAGTCGTGCTGCCATGTTTTTGAGATAAGACTTTCTCCTGCAACTCTTCCAAGCAAGCTGTGACCTTTGACCTTAACCCTGCTAGCTGAGGCCAGTCCAGTCTGAGATGGAGCTCATTCTGCTGAGCATTGCACAGTCTGACCTTTGGGGTGAATATGCTGCCACTTTGTTGTCCGTGTGAATAATCTTTCTCTAGAATGATGAACTAATAGTTTGGAAATGATTTTTGATCATTCACAGACTGATGAGCAGCAGCAGTCACTTCTCCAAGGTCATTGCTGATGTCGTTCCGTCTTGGCGTTGTGTTAACGCACTTGTGCTCCGATTTGACCAGCAGTGTTTGGCTTCAACTAACGGTCTTGATGGCTGTGGAGGAAAAGTGTTGCTTTCTTCCTGTTCATTAAGTCGAGACGTGTCGAACATCATTTCATGTGAAGTTTTATTTAAATTAAAGACGAGGAAAAATGATATGTTTGTCCCAAGATGTAAATGTTTATTGCTTCTCCTTCCACAGTGTTAAGTTTATCCCGGTAATGAGGATTTTTAAACGAGTTTTAAATTTTTAATTCTTTAGATGTGCTTCACAATAAACATGTTAGCATGAATATGTAAGATAATTATTTATGTAGCTGAATTATAATTTACAGAAAAGAACAAGAACATCGCTGAGATTTGACTCAGAATTTTGGAGTTATTTGTTTTTTGTTGGACTTTTAATTAAATTTCTTGCAGGAGAGTGAGGAGGACACAAGAATCCTGAGAATCCTTCACTTGTCTGAAGAAAGCAAACAGCTAAAGATTAGCTGATGGGTTTTTTTTTTTCAGCTCCCTTCTCTTGGGGTTATATTTAAAATTTGTCGCGTGCGCTCGTTCACTTCCCACACGCATCAAAGGCTTTTCAGAAACAAAGGTGGAACAATTGGAGGCGCGTGCGAGAAGACAGGGGCCGGGTGGCACGTGCGGCCTGGAGTGACATCCAGGTGTGAACAGCTGCGGAAGCCGGGGTGTGGATGGAGACACGCCGGCACTCGCTGCAAAGATGAGTGGAAGAACCAAATCAAATCTAATTAAATGTTATTCCTGCAAACCGGCACAGACTAAGTGAAATATTCTGCAGGAATAGATGCTTTGGTCAAACAAAACAGGTGGATTAAAAAGTGCAAACACCAACAAATGGCGCACAGATGGTTTTCAGACCGTCCCCCTCCCCATTAATGCAACAACAACAACAAAACTTCAAGAAAATTCGGTCGAAGCTTAAATTTTAAAAATCGAAAGAAAACCCAGTAGCCGCTTGGAAACGTTTCATCCACGTGAACATAAATCTGCATGATTTTATTTCCGGTTTCATTTAAATTTAAGAGATCAAAGGCTCAGAAAGATCCAGAATGAGCAGAAGGGTTGACGTTTGTTGGAAAACTAAAAGTTCTCCATTTTAATCATTTTACGCATCTGTGCGTAAAACGGCTCCATGCAGCCAGTCCGGATGAATCCGGGTTCAGTGAAAGCATCTGATGAGTTGTAATTACAGTATGAAACATTTGGGGGCGGGGGGGAGGGGGAGACCTGTAAGAAAGTGGAGTTTTTGCTGGGAGGACTGGTGGCAGTGAGGGGGCGGGTCCAGGTTGTAAAGCGTGCTGTGGGAGGGGTCTGCAGGGGCGCGTAAAAAGGATGAGAGCCGGATGCACGACCAGTCGCAGCCTGGGAAAAGCAGAAATGAAGCTGCTTCAGGACACTGAGGGTGCGACAAACAAGAAGGTAAGACCCCCCCCCCCCCCCAGCTCAAAGTGAACGAGGGTTTCCTCAGTAATTATTACTAATTTAATCAAATGTGTGTCTAGTTTCTAGTTTCCAGTGTTGTAGTGAGGTTTGATGATGTTTGCAGCAGATTTCAATCACATCAGCGAGTTCCCATAATCTGGGTCAATCCGTTCCTTTGTGTTAGTTGGTGAAGTCTCAGGTGGAGAAACGTCGCAGGGAGAGGATGAACCGGAGTCTGGAGCGCCTGAGGACCATGCTGCTGCAGGAGCCACAGCAAGTAATGAGCTGAAGAGTGAAATGCACTTTACTGTATTCAAAGCAACAATTAACTGTTCTTTCTCACCGAACAACCCCAATTCAAAAAAGTTATTATCAAATTTGTTATATTTTATTCACACATCAAACGTTGAAACAAAAAATATTGCAGTATATTCTTTATGGGTTACAAATTAGAATTTGATGCAACTATAACAGTTGTTCCAGTTCCAGTTCCAGTTTCTCAGTGACGACAAAAGGCGGTAAAAGTAAGTGGTGCCAGTAAGAAACATCTGGAGGAGCATTAGGTGAACTGGTATCAGGTCCGTAAGAGCAGGGGTTCTCAAAAGTTTTGGGTTCAGGGAGAAAAAGTTTCAGGGACCCCCTCATAACCCTCATGTTTATTAAACACATTTCTTCCATTTGTCTCTTTAGCACAATGGAAATATTTGTGTAACATTAATACTTAAGACCGGTTCATTACAATTTTTATACTTTTAAACATATATGGGCTATTTTTTCATTCAAGACACTCTTAATTAACACAATTTTTAATTTTAACTTCCAAAAATTACAGTTTTGATGGTGATCTTCAGGCCCTCATGGGCCACTCCATTAATCTGGCCTGGTTCTGTTCTGGGCTCAGGAACACTTCCTCAGATCTGTAAACACAGTTCATCCACAGATGCTGCTTAAAGTGCTATCTGACAAAGAAGAAGCCAGATGTGAACACCATCCAGAACCGCTGCCGTCTCGTCTGGACCAGAGCTCGTTTCAAATGGACTGAGACAAAGTCCAGAACTGTTCATGGTCAGACGGGTCCAAATTTGAAAACATTTTGTCTGTAAGGAGGAGAGGCTACATCCAGCCTGTTATCAGTGGTTAGTTTGAAAGCCTGCCTCTCTGATGGTATGGGGGTGCATTATTGCCTCTGGCATGTTCTGGAAAGACTCCATCAATGCAGAAAAGAAATCCTTCACGAGAGATATTTATGAGATTTGCTCAGCGTTACATGTTTTTACTTTCGTATGAACTTTTTCAGAACCGGGTCGTAAAATAATCTGTTGCTCACATAGTCCTGGGCTGGACTCCCTGCTGGGTTCCTTTTGTGTTTGGATGGATTTCTAAACACCACAAAGACTGGCATCTTCAAAAATGGCACCTCTGTTAAAATCCTCTCAATGTGTGTGTGTGTGTGTGTGTGTGTGTGGTCTCTCACTGCAGGAAGGGACGCAGCACCGGGTGGAGAAAGCTGAGGTCCTGGAGCACACGGTCCTCTTCTTACAGGAAAAAGCCAAAGAACGCAAGACTAAAGGTCCAAGATCCTCCTTCCAAGATGGTTTCTCCTCCTGCCTGCAGAGCGCGTCTCACTTCCTGGGGCCCAAAGGGAAAGGACTCTGGATTGGACCGGCGCTGGACGCAACCTTCTCCGGTCGCTTCACACGCTCTCACAACGATTCTGCAGCCGCTCCGAGCAGCAGCTCCCTGACCCACACCAAGTCCATCCTTCAGATGCTGAGACGGAGGTCCCAGGTCGGCCAGCAGGCGTGCGGCGAGAGCGGCGGCGCTCGCTCTTACCGGCTCCCCGCCCAGCAAAGCTTTGCTGAAGTTCCCCAGCAGCCTCAGACACACAGCGGGCTGGAAAGGAGGGCAGAGAGACCGGAGACCAAAGAGAGCTCGTCTCAGAGTCCCCCCCTGACCCAAACTCTGTGGAGACCGTGGCCCTGATCAGGCAGAACTCTCACACTAATCTGATTTTTATACTCTATAGTCTAGTTTTCTTTATGTTGTCCACAGAATATCGCTCATTAGTCTTTATGCAAACTCCTAACTGTAAATAATATAAAACTTATATCTTGTACATGTAGTAGGTGTAGCTCCACTCACTCTTAATGCTCAGCGTGGCAGCCAGGTCTTCTGCTGGCAGTGTGCAGGGACTCTTTTCTCCACCTGGACCCTCAAGTGTGCCGAAGACCCCTCAGGTGAGTATGAGCCGCTTTAACCCTTCAGTAATTCTGCCGTCATGATTCCAGAGTGACGCTTTAATGACTGCGTGTCCGTCCGTCACATTTCCAGGTGTGGAACCTGGGGTTGAATTTGGGAGAGACCCTCATTTTCATCTCTGTGCCATGATGTCTGCTGGCATGAGGACATCTGTGGCTCTGTACAATTTAACACGCATCCTTCCTAAAAGATATCTTGTCTGTTTTGCACACTAATTTATTCTGGTTGTCTCCCTATGGTGAGCATTATTCTTTTTTTTTTTTTCTTTTAAATATATAGAAAACAATAAAACTTTTGTTAAATAGAAAAAATGACGTGAAGGTTTTTTTTTTGGAAGTTAAAGACCTTTTGGCTGCAGAGACCTTTGAAGGTGTGAAGCAACAAACTTCAGGTGTGAAGGCTGTTAAAAAAAAAAAAAAAAAAAAAAACAGCCGACGAGCTTCTTTTCACCTCAGACAATCAGGAACACGGAGAAACCGGGATCTGACACGAGCAGCCGCATCTTCTGTGAAACTACAGGGTGAACACCGGGCGCTGAAAGAAACCGTCTTCTGAGGAGTTAAAGCCGAAGGAAACTGAACTCTGTCAAATGTTAATATGAAACCAAAACTTATAAAAATAAATAAAATATTCATTCATTCAACAGCTACCAGAAGCCAAAGGCTAGCTACAAGGTAAATGCAGCAAAAAGTAAAAGTAGCAAAAGATAAGCTAAACGAAGCAATGGTTTTGCTACAAGGAGTAAAAATGCAAACTGAAAGCAGTAATTGATTCACTAAAAGTTAAAACTATCAACTTAAAGGCTCAAAGTAGCAAAATGGTAGTTTTGCTAAAAATAAAGTTTTAGCTATCAGTAGCTAAATGCTAGCTAAATGTTGAAATAACGTTTGTTAAAGGTTGGGGATGAGTATGTAAAAGCTAAAAATAGCAGAGAAGATTCTTAAAAGGACAAAAGTTAAGTAAAAGCTAAAAATCCAAAAAAGTTCAATCTGGTCCTCTGGACATTCAAAAAAAAAAAAAACAAAGCAAAAAAATCTAGAAACGTTTCGTCTCTCATCCAAGAGACTTCCTCAGTCTCTTGGATGAGAGACTGAGGAAGTCTCTTGGATGAGAGACTGAGGAAGTCTCTTGGATGAGAGACGAAACGTTTCTAGATTTTTTGGCTTTGTTTTTTTTTTTTTTTTTTTTTTCAAATGACCAGAATGAACTTTTTTTGATTTTTTTTACCTGGATTATTGAGCATGCATCAGGATAAAAGCTAAAAACAACAGAAGCTTAAAGTTATAAGATTGAGCAAAAGATAAAAGTATCAGGCTGCAGCAAAAAAAGCTAAACGTAGCACTCTGAAGCTTTAAGCAGCTGTCTGCAGCTAAAGGCTAACTAAAGCAGACTCCAGCTAAAAGCTAACAGAAGCTAAATGCTAACAGAAGCAGACTGCAAATCAAAGCTAAACTTAGCATACTGCAGCTAAAAGCTAACAGAAGTAGATTGTAGCTAAAGCTAACTCTAGCATACTGCAACTAAAAGCGAGTAGCAGATTGGAGCTAATTGCTAAATGTAGCAGAATGCAGCTAAAACCCAAAAGAAGTGCACTGTAGCTAAAGGCTAACTGTGGCTCACTGCAGCTAAAAGCTAACTAGACAATTGCAGCTAAAAGCTAACTGTAACAGAATGCAGCTAAAAGCTAAATGTAGCAGATTGCAGATAAAAGCTAAATGTAGCAGACTACAACAAAATGTTTAAATGTAGCAGACTGCATCTAAAAGCTAACAGTAGCACACTGCAGCTAAAAGCTAAATGTAGCAGACTGCAGCTAAAAGCTCACTGTAGCAAACTGCAGCCAAAGGCTAAATGTAGCAGACTGGAGCTAAAATATAATAGCAGACTGCAGCTGAAAGCTAAATGTAGCAGACTGCAGCTAAACCCTAAATGTAGCAGACTGGAGTTAAAAGCTGATAGTAGCAGATTGTAGGTAAAAGTTAAATGTAGCAGACTGCAGCTAAAAGCTAACTGTAGCAGATTGTAGCTAAAGGCTAATTGTAGCAGTCTGCAGCTAAAAGCTAAATGTAGCAGACCGCAGCTAAAAGCTAAATG